AAGCAGGAAGTAAACTTTAATAGATACTCCTTAATAGATAATAATAGGCTGAAAATTGTAATGGTTTCAAGAAAAGTAGGCAAGTGGGTAGACTGATAAGCTAAGCATAAGTTATAGAGAGAAGCTAGACGTTATTACAGTAAGAGTCTGAAGCTTTTGGAATTTGAAATAATGTAAAATGACGATGTCCTCCAACACAAGTTACTGGTCTGTTCCAGTTATATATTTCTGAAGTTTTACAAACATCGTAATGAGCATACAATTTTTTCCTGATATAATTTCTACGACTATGAAAATGGTATTACTAGCCTCCAGCTACATATGCCACCTTACAAATGACTCATGAACATGAATGAAATGTCTAGAAGTTCGTCTTAGTCAATGCCCTCATTCAACTATTTTTTATTTTTCAATTCAGAAAATCTGACAATAATTAATCTAGGTCAGCATTCTCCATACTGTATCTTACGGAGATGAATGTTTAGAAGTTATTAAGTAAGGGGGGAAATTCCAGGATCCAGTAAGTGCTCACTAAATTCTCCTAGAGAACCACAGACCACATGTAGCATGAACAATCCCGTAATAAAGAATCTATGCAACTGTAACCCAGTATTTCCTACATTTGGCCATGGCACCTCTTTGTTGCAGACCATTTATAAATTATGGACATTCATTCCAGATCTAGATACTTTCTTTTGGACAAGTGTTACTTTTACAAGAGTCCAGGAGGGGAGTTTATCATGCGTAGGAGTAATTGGGGGTATTTTGTTCTCTCAATGTTTAAAGAGTCCCTGTTTCTGCTATTAGGGATGGTGGTATGTGGCATTCTGAATTCATTTTCTCCTAAGAACAATTTATACCAGCCACTCCTTAGTCTCCTCAGCTGATTCCCTCTCATCTCTCTAACCTCTTATTGTTAGCATGCCCTGGAGCTCAGTCTATGGACCTTGTCCTTTCTCTATCCCTGTTCTATTTGTGGTGATCTCATAGTCTGTGACTCTTTAATAAATGTAAAGGTTACTGACAGCCTGGACTTCTCCTCTAAACTCCAGACTCACACATTAGGATGTCCAGGGCATCCCCACTAGGATATCTATTAGGCATCTCAAATGCAAACATGTCCCAAATCAAAGTCCTCATCTTCCCTCCCAAACCTACTCCTCCTTTAGTCTTTTCCATTTCAGTTAATACCACTTTTCCAGTTGCTTAGGCTAATGACTAATGTGCCATCCTCCACAACACTTTCTCTCTCATGCTTCATATCCAAACCACCAACAAATTCTGTTGGCTCAACCTTCAAGATATACCCTCAATTGAGCCACTTATCACCTACACTCTCATCATCCTAATTAAACCTCTATTAACTCCCAAATGGATTATTACAACAGCTTCCTAGCTGATTTTCCTGATTCTGCCCTTGGTCCCCTGCAGCTTGTTCTCAAGACAGCAGCTAGGGTGAGCCTGTTAAGACTGTAATAAAGAATTTTTGTGGGGGCACCTGGTGACTCAGTCGGTTAAGCGTCCGACTCTTGCTCTCAGCTCAGGTCTTGATCTCAGGGTCATGAGTTCAAGCCCCGCACTGGGGTCCACGCTGGGCATGGAGCCTACTTTAAAAAAAAAAAAAAAGATTTTTTGTTTTTCATTGAGGTATTAAAGACTTCTCCATTCAGAATCCACTAATGGCTTCCTATCTCTGAATGAAAGCCAAATCCTTACAACTACCTAGGAGGCCCTATACTACATGGTCCACATCACCTCACAGGCCCCATCTCCTACTACACAGCCCCCTGTCCAGCCCCACTCTACTGTAGCCCCATCAGTCTTGTTGCTGTTCCTTGAGCTAGGCATGATCCTACTTCAGGACTCATTCTTTCTACCTTTCATTGTTATGTTAGCTGATTTTTTATTTTTATTTTTTTAAAGATTTTATTTATTTTTCAACAGAGAGAGAGAGACAGTGAGAGAGGGAACACAAGCAGGGGGAGGGGGAGAGGGAGAAGCAGACTCCCAGCCGAGCAGGGAGCCCGATGCGGGGCTCGATCCCAGGACCCTGGGATCGTGACCTGAGCCGAAGGCAGACGCTTAACGACTGAACCACCCAGGCGCCCCTTGTTAGCTGATTTTTATTAGGTTAGGTTAAAAAGGTTTCCTTCATATTCCTAACTTGCTAAGCTTAAGGGTTTTTTTTTTTTTTTTTGTAGAGGTGAGAGTCACATATCTTAAAATCAAAATTTAAAAAGTCAACCATCTTGGGGCGCCTGGGTGGCTCAGGTTAAGCAACTGCCTTCAGCTCAGGTCATGATCCCAGGGTCCTGGGATCGAGTCCCACATCGGGCTCCCGGCTTAGCGGGGAGCCTGCTTCTCCCTCTGACCCTCTCCCCTCTCATGCTGTTTCTCTCCCGCTCACTCTCAAATAAATAAATAAATAAATAAATAAATAAATCTTTAAAAAACATAAAAAAGTCAACCATCTTAAAGTGAACAATTCAGTGGCATTTAATACATTCACAATGTTGTATAACCATCTTTATTTAGTTCCTAAACATTTTCATCACACCCCAAGGTCAACCCTGTACCCATTAAGTAGTCACTCCCCATTCCCCACTGCCCTCTCAGCCCCTGGCAACCACCAAACTGTTCTCCATCTCTATGGATTTAACTATTCTGGATATTACACATAAATGCAATTATACAATATGTGATCTCTTATGACTGGCTTTTTTCACCTAGCATGTTTTTGACGTCCATCCACCTTGTAGCATGTATCAGTACTTCATTCCTTTTTATGGCTAAATGTTACTCCATTGTATGAATATACTACCAATTATTTATTCCTTCATCTGTTGGGCTCTTTCCATCTTTCAGCCATTGGGAATAGTGCTGCTATGAACATGCACGTACGAGTATCTGAGTCCCTGCTTTAGATTCTTTTGGATATACACCTGGGAGCAGAATTGCTGGGTCATATGGTAATTCTATGTTTTAACTTCTTGAGGAGCTGCTGAACTGTTTTCCGCAGTTGCTAAACCATTTTACATTCCCCTCAGCCATGTGTGAGGGTTCCAATTTTCCCTTCAGGACTTTTGCATTTGTTATTCTCTCTCTGGAATGCTCTTCCAATAGATAATCCAGTGGCCCACTTCCTCACTTCCTTCAGGTCTATACTCAATGTCCTCTTCTCACAGAGGCCTATCCTGACCACCAAATTTAAAATGGCAACCTCCCACCCCCAGCCCACACTTACCATCCTCCTTGCCCACTTTATTTTTCACCATAGCATTGATCATCTAACATACTACTTAATTTTCTTAATTTTTATCGTCTTGTCTTCAACCACTGAAATGTAAGCGCCACCAGGGAAGAGATTTCAGTCTATTTTTTTCCAGCACCTAGAGCAGTGTTAGGCACATAGTAAGTGCTCAATAAATATTTGCTGAACAAGTTAAGTGAGGCCCAAAGAGATGTTTTGGCAAAGTGTGACAAAAAGGAGCAAGAAACTGTCTCTGTAGTTCAGAGGCTATTTTTCTAAGAATGGTGATAGATTGCAACTGAGCCAATCACAACTTTTATTCAGCTGTAACCTTTTAAAAAGCAGACATGCACGAGCTGGCTATTTCTGAATCAAGCGAAAGAACTATTTAGAAAAACCTGAGGGTAATGGGATCAAAATGTCAAGCTAAAACTCATTTGCCCCAATTAAAACTCAACTAACTGCCTATAATAAGCAAGCTTAGTATTTACTGTTTGAAATGTTTTATTTAAAGAAAGTAAAAAAATATGGTGCTACAGGACACAGAACTTTAAGAGTATTATACTTTAAGAAAATGAACCTAATACATACTGTTAGAAATAGAATCCTATGGAAGAACAAAAAGATGTACCCCTACCTAAAATATTGCTATAGCAACAATGTAGTTTATCATATCCTCAAACTATAACAGAGCCAGGGAAAATATCTGCATACAAAAAGAGAATCTATGTTGAAACCACAAGAATTTATATCTGGACAAAAGTTTAAAACTTGGTGTAATTAGTACTGAATTTTTCACTTGAAAATGGTTAAGATGGCAAAATCTATGTTATATATTTTCATTACAATTTTTGAAAAGTAAAAAAAAAATGGATAGAAAGATGGTGGATGAAGAAACATTCTGGGGACTGATACAGAAATAAAGACTCGAACACTGCCAAGTCTACTATTAAGAAACAAGTAGGAGGGC